GTATCTGAAGAAAATCTTAGAATACGAAAACATTGGTGAATGCCACAAATTCTCCTAAATCACTTGTACGCACAACTTAAGCACAAATCTGTGCGTACGAACGGTTCTTGCATGAGGTCCATTGTTCTTTTTTTAAGCTGTCAGTCTAATGAAGGAATACAATGAATTTAAGACTATTTGCCATTTAACAWAGCTGCTTGAAAAGGATTATTCATCCCCTGCTGTAGTCCTCTCTGTTCATTTATTGTGATATAATTTAATGTCTTTATTGTGCCTGATCTGATAAGAACAAAAATGCAATATAATTTATTTTATGTCATTGTTATTATAATTATGTTGCTATTTTAGGTGACAGTGTTTCCTTTTTACATCTTCACTGATGCAGAGGAAGACAAAACAACAGGACGTGTCATTGTGTGTGCATTCAAAGCATGATGAGGATTACCAGAAGTTGGATGCACATTTAATTAATGGTATAGGAGTGCTGTCAAGAGCAAGRTGGATAACATGCATTAATGCATAGTGTACAGTGTGCATGTGGGACTTTTTTTAGCAGACATTCAATTCAGTTAATGACAAGAAGGATAACATATAATATATGAAAACAATTTAGGTAAACTGATGCTTGATGTTATATTTTGTATTCAGTGAAATTTTAGGCAGTAAACCTCAGCRCAGGGGCAACAGACAGGACCCCCAACGCAGACTGTGTTAAGATGTCCCTGAGGTGATCCATTACATAACAGAAGGGTGTAAGAGGCAGGCAGGCAAAACATACTGTACATAAAGCACCAAGTTACTGGAATGATATATAAAGACATCTGTGCTGAGTGAAGTGGGAGACATCCTGTTCTTTAGCCTGTCTTTGTATTCATGAAAATTGTAGTGGTTGATGATTGATGAATAGTGGTTGATGATTGTAGTGGCTCATCAACCACTACAATGTTCAGTTGTCAGGCTAAAGAATAAGGCAGYTATTTAGGTATTCCAAATGACTGTAACAAGATGTAAATGCCCCTGAAAACCAAAAAAGATTTTTACAACATGTAGACAGTAAACTATGAAATAAAAGAACTGCTTGTGAAATGTGAATCACTTTAATCAAATTAAATATAATGAATATAAAACACCTTTTTTGCTCCGTTGAATGATTTTAGCATCCCCTCCCATCATGATGAATGCATTGATGTATTGCTAATTTTACAGTTACTAATTTGCATCAGGCATCACATCCTCAAATAGGTTTATAGCTATTTCCAGCATTCAAGGTTCAACTTTATCGTTTTGGTCTTTTACACCTGCTAGTATAACTAAAGTAGTTCTACAGGGGGGGTTTCAAGATGGCAGAAATACTGCACACTCCGATGGAAGAAATCTTTATTTGATCCTGATTTGTACATCTRTTATTTTCCACTTGTCCCAGAGTCAGGTCGTGGGAGCAGCAGCTTGAATAGGGAGGTCCAGCCTCCTCCCMCTCTAGCTCTATGGGAGAAAACTCATTTTAACTGCATGTATCAGTAATTTTGTTCTTATACCCAATGTTCAACAGGTTTAGTTTATTCAGTTTRTGTATATAGATCGGCTGAGAGAGATTCTATGGGGACAATGCCACTACTTATCTTAGGACTTACTTGTCCTTATCTTATTCTCTTCTATATGTTTACATCCCTGCATGTTTCTTGTGTTGCCTTTTCTGTTTGAGTCAGTTGAWAKGTGRGCAATGCTGGACATGAAAGGACTTTATGGTTCCTCAACAAGAATACTGTAAATGTGTTATATTTGTTGGTGTCAATTTTGTACTTGTTTGTAAAATTCTTCTTYCTTTTCTCTTTAATCTGTAATAGCATTGCAACACTATTAATAGTGCAGTTAGTAGAATGAATTCGTCAGGAAAGTGCATGGTCAAGGGGTACGTACTTCAGCCGTTGGTGCATCCAAAGACTAAAGTAACTGAGTAAAGCAAACAAATCAAATTAGATTAATGCTACTGAAAAGCAAAGTAACAATTATAACTTCTTCAACTGAATTATTGTGTCATATGAACATTGTAAAGGCAATATTACCAGCAGCTATGACAACAGTAACAACCACTTTTTAGGTTTAAAGTGTAATACTATGTATAATTTAGTYATGATTGCGACATCTGGTGGGCAGATGATCCAGGTCCTGCATCGTCCATCCCTTTGTGGCAGCATTTGAGCATCGTCCCCTGTGTGACATCCTACAACCTGCAAAAACAGACTAAAACATGGCAAAAGGTTTTGATCAAATCAAATGATTTGTTTAMTCCAAAGAATCAGTGATTTATAAAGTTAAATCAGGAAAATTAACAAGGSTGCCCAAACTTTCRCACMACACTGTATGYCCTCAAGTTAAAGATGTACAAGCTATACATAACTGTCAAGAGACCAAAGCTGTAAACAGTGAAACTAAGTAAAAAGAACTATTAAAAATACTTTCTGTCAAAGTGGACATAATCTATAGCCGTCTCATGTGGAAGAGCAGAATGATTTTAAAAAGAGTCAATACAAAATTTGATTCCACTGGCTTGAYGTGACTGTGATTTCAAGAGACCTGGACCAAGAAAGTGACAACACTCAAAGTATATGTYCATGATCAAGAGAACAGATGATCAAAACATCAGGTCACTGAAACCTATGACAAAATTACAAGTTAAATTAACTGCAAATTGGAAACTGGTTTAAAAAAAAAGAGTGAGTGAGGAAAAGTGATYCGGGGTGAAATCAAGGAACCTGAGTTGTTTCAAGACTCTTGAAACAACTCGGGTTCCTTGATTTGGCAGGTTCCCTGCCAAATCAGGCTGCAAAATTAACTTTTACTTCACTCCATCACTCTCTCAAAGATTGGACAACAAAAGCTGCCAATGAATTAGTTTGATGCATAAATAAAGTGATGTGGTKGTAAAATGAGGTAACCTCCAGGGTTGCAGTGATAAAAAGCACAGTGTGTTTGTGGACAGATGAACAAACTTGATTTAATAATACTGATGCTGAAAAATCAAACATTTCTGCAAAACTAATATTCTTATTCTGGTTTATTCTTCCAGTGAAAAACAGTCCAAACAAAACTTATTTCTGCATTCGACAMCCTAGTAGCTTTCGAAATGCGTTCAAATAAAACAAAAAGAATCCAGGTCCCTTTTATTAAATGGAGGAACTAAAAACATAAGTTGTTACTGTCAAAAGGACATGCTGATTTTTTTTCCTTGATTCAATTCAATTGTTTTTCTAAGGACAAGTGAAAATATCCAGTTTTTTTTATTTATCTGCTTGCTGACAAACCAAACATTAGTTTGTTTCTCAATCTCCATCACATGTTCATTTTTTCAAGTTTAAATTACGTTGACAGGAACTAATTTTGCTTTTCAAAAGTGATCCCAGAAGTCTGGCATCACAATGAATGAGGGTAACTGTTCCTCTGGAACTGGATTCAAAACAGATCTTGTTTTTAAGAAGATACACTTTTTGATTTTAAAGATGTGGTTCTTTTAAGTGTTTATATGCCACCAGAACACAACATTGCTCAGCAGGTTTTGTCAGCTGCACTCTGGTGCATTTTTTTCAATACCTCCTCCTGGACAGGTAATAAATGTTTCAAGATAAACCATTTGATTAAAGCTGCAGTATGCAACTTTTACAAAAACCTTTTTTGCTTTTTTATTAAAACTGTCAACAGGTTGTGACAGTATGGTATGAGAAATGCATTCAAACTACAGAGAATAGAGATCCCTTTTATTAAATGGACATGCAGTTAGTACTGGAGCAACGAGGAGGCAGAGGGGTTCGATTTTTTCTCAGATTATCTCACATACTGTCAAAATATAAAAGCAAATATATAAACTTCTTTTTATGAAAGTTACATAGTGCAGCTTTAATCGCAAAGCTCAAGGCAAACGTTCATGCACATATAAGTAACTGCAGTTATGAAGTCTTCCCTTTAACAACTATTTTCCCTAACTAAGCTCTTCCCTAGTCTTCATCCAGCACATGCAGTGGGTATTTATGTACTGAAGCCCAATGGGCCAGAGAGTGATCAGACAAAGCATCAACTCTCCTGGAACCCATGGATGTACTCCCAAGCAAAGCTTTAACCACATTTGGCTGCAACACAAACCCCTGCAATGATCCTAAAGAGGAACATTGTTAAGCTGACAGGGGAACACTCCACAATGCCTTTTGATGCAGTATGCATGAAAGAAAAACATTCAGATGGTGTACCACCATAAACGAAGGGGCCTTTTAATATTGTGTCTTAAAAGAGCTTCACACCCTGAATTCTGCGTTAAGATGTATGCAGCTTACACATAGCCAAAACACAGTATAGGGTTGTGGTAACTGTAGTAAGTCTGCAGGACACCTGAGGACACAATGGGCCTCATGCAAGAACATGTTCGTATTCTTATCCTAAATTTCTCTTTTGTTCGTATGAAGGGTTCGTATGAACATGTCACGTCAGATTCAACAAACTCTTCTATCTTCAGGAAAAGTGTGTAAATGAGCAGCATGGACTGATTAAACAACAACCTTTCAGGCAACATTGCATTCACAGACCTTTATACTCTGACTTACTGTCCTTCTTGGTGGCAGTTTTCATTTAGAACAGAGTTCCCACAATTCTTTGCGTGGCAGGAAGCAATTACAGCTACTTCATTGGACAACAATCCACCTGCAGTTCTGATCTGAGAACCACGCTCAGCTGTGCTGTTTTCCTCTCTGAAGGACATTTCAGCAATAAATATTAAATTAAATAAAGAAATAATAATAAATAAAGAAACATGAAACAGTTTAAATTCATGCTCTTATTTTGAACGTAACTGGTGCCTGTTCTTTGTCTTGTAGCCCAATGATTCCTAAGCAGGGATACACGAGCATATTACAGGGGGTTTCATGGAAAAATTTCCCAGGTGTGTAAAAAAAATTAATAAAAAGAGGACTGAGATTTGTAGAGCTCCTGTAATTTCTGCAATGCGGAGTTTGCAGACAGAATCACAGAGTTAACGCAAACAAAATCCAGCATAAAATGTGAAATCTCATGGAATTTGCTCATTTGGGTGAGTTTCTGACATATTTTGGACAATACAATGTATTTTGGATGCAGCTGTTTTCTGTACCTGCCATTACCTGGTTTATTTATTTAATTTAACTATTTATTCACTTTCAAGGCAACACTTTTATTTTTATGTTTGATTTGAGTTTGAAAAATATGAAAAGCCTGAGAAATGAGTTCTAGGGGGTTAAAATAATTTTAATTTAATAATCAGTTGTTGTACATTATAGATTTGGAGAATCAGCATTACGTTTGACTGAAGGGGTACTAGTGGTATGACAAAATGGCTCAGGCGGTACACGAGTCTAAAAAGGCTGGGAACCACTGCTCTTAAGTCCTGAAACATTCCAGGACTTTCAGGACCTTGGACAGTTTGTTCAGTCCTACACACTGTCCAGGGTTCTAAAACATTCCAGCACTTCCAGGACCTTGGACAGTTTGTTCAGTCCTTCACACTGTCCAGGGATCTAAAACATTCCAGCACTTTCAGGACCTTGGACAGTTCCTTCAGCACTTCACACTGACTAAAACCCAAACGGGCAAGGATATTACAGGGAGTGCGTGGAAATATTTCCCAGGTGTGTAAAATAAATAAATAAAAATATACGATTCCATTTTGTGTTGATTCCGCATTGCGGAAATCATTGGGCCCTATATACCCCAATCCTATTTTTATTTATTTTACACACCTGGAAAATTTTTCCATGTACATATATCAAAATGATTGCATACCCCAAGGGGTACACGTACCCCTGGTTAGGAATCATTGCAATAGAGACCTTTGGGATGTGGTRGAACGGGAGATTCTCATCATGGCTGTGCAGCTGACAAATCTGCGGCAACTGTGTGATGCTATCATGTCAGTATGGACCAGACTGTCTGAGGAATGTTTGCAGTATCTTGTTGAATCTATGCCATGAAGAATTAAGGCAGTTCTGAAGGCAAAAGGGGGTCCAACTGAGTACTAGCAAGGTGTACCTAATAAAGTGGTCAATGAGTAGAGTGGGTMTAAAAAAGTTATAAATTTCCTGAAAGTGGCTGGAAACAACTGAAGGGCAGATAGACAGTCATTATTAAACATATTTAGGACACTAATAAGATCAAATATAGACTATGGCAGTATATGCAGCAGCTAAAACAACATTACAAACAAACAGATTACAGTGAAGGGTGAATTATGCACATATGGATACAGGAGCAGTGAGAACTACACCCATTAATGCACTATTAATGGAGACTGGTGAGACTCCACTGGAAATTAGAAAAATAAAATCACCACTAGTAAATTGGATACATAAAGTTAGTAAGGTAAATAATGTAACTTCAATAATGTTACAAAACTTTTGGGAATACTCTAAATTCCAGTGTTATGAATTTGGATGGATTGTGGACAAATTGATTAAAATGTATAGAGAATAAAGAAATAGTGCAGTTTAATCCTATTAGTGCTATTGCTCCATGGATATTTCCTGAGGTAAATTTAGACATGAGACTTCTTAAAATGAAAAATGATTGAAATCTAAATAAAAAAGGTGTAAAACTCTTAAGAAACTCATGGCAATTACGTTAAAAAAATTTTTGGACGGTTTTAAAAACGAAAAAGGATGTACGGGAATAGTAATATTTATTCCAGAGTTTAAAATATGCATTTCTAAATGCTTATCAGATCAAATATCTGTTTTTACAGCTGAAATGGTGGCAGACTTGTAAAACACATGAGCCTGAAAAGGAGAGATTAATTAAAATAATGAAAAATAACCTATTGGGAACTGAAGAAAACATTTAGATATATTTACAACACAAAACTAAAATTTTAATTTATTTGATGAAAAGTGGTGTCGCTGGACACTCGTGTACAGTAGGTGGCGGTATGCAGCTGAAATATGCTTGTGATCCGCCACAACAAAAACAAAGAAGAAGAAGAAAAGGGGACGACAACAACATGGCTGMCACTGCATCCCGACACTACGGAGAAGGAAGCAGAGCAACAAAAAGACAGAAAACTGAGGACGGAGGAATGACAACGGTGAGGGTGTCTCTAAACACYGTTGATGAAATTGCAATAAATATGTTCGTTTTTCCTTTTCCAATACAAGAAATGTGTGCGAAGAAGATATATTTGTACTTACAGCTAAAYCGTACAGGCTAGCTTATTAGCTGCTGTTGCGGAGTTAGTTTATTGAGTGTTTTTATATATTGAKAAGAAAAAAGCAAGCTGTACAGGGTTATTGTATTTTCAGGTCAGTGGAAGTAAAGATATAATACATAATTTATTAACGAAAGATAAGAGTATACTTTTTAGGCCTGGTTATTTCTATACATGAAAAAGTGAGTTTTGTCAGTTTGCAAATCAGTGTATTTTATAACTTAAGAAGCATCATGTTTTTGTCTTATTTCTTAGGAAAGTTAYGAAAACCGCCACAAACCACTGGCATCTCCCGTGGTGCACATAAGGGGATTGGTTGACGGTGTAATGGAGGCTGACATTGTGGAGGCTCTGCAGGAGTTTGGAACCATCAGGTTATTAATTTATCTCACCTGAACATCCAATAGGGATGTGGACATTTTTTTTATTCCATCCATCCATTTTCTTCCGCCTATCCGGGGTCGGGTCGCGGGGGCAGCAGCTTCAGAAGGGAGGCCCAGAYCTCCCTCTCCCCAGCCACTTCTTCCAGCTCCTCCGGGGGAACTCCAAGGCGTTCCCAGGCCAGCCGAGAGACATAGTCCCTCCAGCGTGTCCTGGGTCTTCCTCGGGGCCTCCTCCCGGTGTATTCTACACTAATATTAAATCTGACAGCAGATTCCAAAAGAACATTATGACCCATACAAAATAACACAAAATCATGATTATCTCAAGTATGAGGGGAGATTATGTTTGTTTAGGTGAAATCAGCTCATGTTTTCTTGCTGCAGTTCACAACGGAACCAACATGATCATTTCACCTTATTCTTATCCATTTTAGCTCACTTCCTTCAAGATATCACCAAGAAATTTTAGGAAAAGATTCACATTCAGGTTTTTGTAGGAAGCATCTTATCTAKCSTGGTTAAAACCAGCCCCWTGTCCTACGCTTTGCTTCATTCGAGGGTCTGGACTCTCGGCTATAGAGAAGAGATTCTTGCTGGAGGCGTGGCCTCTGAAGTTTAAAATGATTGGATCAGTTGGCCGTGTACGCCAGCTCCAATGTGAAGGAGACTAAGCTAAGAAGTTAACCGGAAATTGCGTGTGCTGTAAACAACCCTACTGAGAGGAGAAATATACCGAGCCGAACGAGACGACTGTAAATCAGAGCTGCTGCTTTGTCAGATGAATTAAATTTATTCTGGAAGCCTAATCAACACAGACTGGCTTCATTCATTTCCTCCACTGCCATTGCTAAACTCACAAGCAGACACTGCGCCAAAAATTGACGTCATTCAAAACTCTGTCTTCTGTTCTCTGATTGGCCCGAACAAAATTCTCCTGAAGAAATCCTTGTCTATGGGAGAAATCCCAGATGGAGCAGTGAAGGGAAAATMGAACTGAGCGGAACTGCGTAGGAAGGGAAGGCAAGGGCCAGGCCATCTTGTATCCTAAAAACTAATAAAACAATAAAACTGCATCATCAAATCAGCTTAATTTTAAATTTATATATTTAACAGGACGGTGCATATTAATTACAGTACATCTGCAACATGCCAGAATTAGCCAAAGGCTAGTTTTCATCTGTAGTCCTGGTGTCCAGTGTGWACAGTGGCACCCTAGGAAAACGTAAAATATTAAAGAATAAAATCATCAACAATTTAAGAACAGCATGCGTAAGGCAGTGTAGATTCATTACAAGAGAAACAACATTAACGGTAAAAACAGTGTAATACAAATAAAAGTAGTTCAGAAAAAAAAACAGCAACAGCAAAACATTTTAGTAAGAAAAGAGCATAAAATCAGCAATGAAAATATCAAGCAAAATAAAACAGAGTAAGACATTGAACAACTTAATGTGTCGTAGAAAACAAGGAAATTAAAACAATTTAAAAACCACGTTGACATCTGTTTTGTAAACCAATGACAGCGTATGAAATGTGTCAGGTGACAAAAATGAGCGTCAACACACTTTGCTGACAAGRGCTATTCCGGATTTTTTTTAAAACGTACTTTGACGTTTCAAATCATTATCAAATTTGGAACATTGGGCCTCATGCAAGAACCGTTCGTACGCACAGATTTGTTCTTAAATTGTGCGTACGAGTGATTTAGGAGAATTTGTGGCATTCACCA